AACACAGAGGTTGCTGATGATCTTAAAACCAGTTTCAGCTTGAGTGCTAGGTGATAAACCTGATTGGAGTGAGCTCCTGAGAGGATAGGTACCCACTAGGATGGCTATAATTTTTTTTAATGGAAAAGAACAACCATTAGGGAGGATGCAGAAAAAATGAAACTCTCATACAGTGTTGGAGGGAATTTAAAATGGTGCAGCCACTGTGGAAAATACTCCAGCAGTTACTCAAAAGATTAGACAGGATTACCATATGATCCAGCAATTCCACTCCTAGATATATACCTAAAATAACTGAAAACAGGTACTCAAACATAATTGCACACCAGTGCTTACAGCATTATTCACTATAGCCAAAAAGTGGATGCAACCCTAGTGTCTATCAACTGATAAGTGGATAAACAAAAGGCTATGTCCACACGGTGGAATATTATTCAGCCACTAAAAAGGAAGAAGTACTGATACATGCCACAACATGAAAGAACCCTGAAAAACTATAATATGTGAAAGAAGCCAGACACAAATGGCCATATGATGTATGATTCCACTTACATGAAATGTCCAGAGTATGCAGAGCCATAGAAACAGGAAGTACATTAGTGGTTGCCTATGGCTGAGGGAAGAAGGAAAATGGTATGGCTGCTAGTGGGTACAGGTTTCTTTTGGGGGTAATGGAAGTGTTCTGGAATTATATAGCAGTGATGGCTGTACCACCTTGAGAACATACTAAAAACCACTGAATTGTACACTTTAAAGTGGTGATGTTTATGGTATGTGAGTTATATCTCAAAAAAAAAGAGAGAAAAGAATGGGAGGAGAGTAATTGGAAACAGTAAATATAGACAAATCTTTCACAGTTTTGTTGTAAAGGAAGGAGGGAAAGGAGCAGTAGCTGGAAAGGGAACTGGGGTGAAGAGCAGGTTTTTAAGATGGGAGAAATGACCGCCTGTTTATGTGTTGATGGGAACAATCCAGGGAAAAGCAGGGACAGAAAGGGAGGAGCTGCCAGAGCCAAGCTCTTGAATAGGTGACAGGGGTTAGAATCCATTGAAGGAACAGGACGAAGGCAGAGGATTCGAGTACAGTGCTGGTAGCTGGGATATGGTGGATGAGTTATGGAAGTTCTGTGATTGTCAAAATTTTCTCTGTGACTAGGAAGCAAGGTCATCACTGAGAGGGAGAATGGAGGAGGGAGGGTTGAGACAGTCATACTAGACCAACGGTCGGCAAACTGTAGACCAAGCCCAGCCACTGCCTATTTGTGTACAGCCTGCAAGCTACGAATGGCTTTTGTATTTTCAGATGATTTCAAAAAAATCTAAAGAATATTTTGTGACATATGAGAATTCTATAACATTCAAATTTTAGTCTACATAACTAAAATTTTATTGGAAGCTGGTCACACCCATTCGTTTTTGTACTGTCTAGATACAACAGCAGAGTTGAATAGTTGTAAGAGACACCATATGTCGCCTGCAAAGCCTAAAATATTTGGTATAAGAAAAAGTTTGGTGGCCCCTGGTCTAGGCTCTACTCCAAGGGCAGATCCACGGGCCAGCAGCACGCACATCACCCAGGAAGTTGTCAGAGATGCAGAATCAGCATCTGTCATCTAACAAGATCCCCAGGTGAGTCATGGGCCCATTTAAGCTTGAGAAGCACTGCTTTAGGAGAACGGGAGGGTGGCTGGGCTAAAGAAATGAAGGCTTGTGGGGCAGCACTGAGGACCCACTTGAAGTCAGTGCTCGTGAACCTGAAGTGAGGCCAGTTGGTTTCCCCACCCTCATTCAGTTGCCAGAGGCGCAGGTTGTCAGGCAGATGGAGAAATGGATATACCAGGGTTACGGTTTCTCCAAGCAAGTACAGAAAAGGATAGGGTGTGAGAGTGATTTAAGCTTAAGTGAAGTAAGGAGGGAAGAGGAGACACGGAGGGGTGGTGGAGAGAACAGGGAAAGAGCATGGGTTCAGTGGATGGATGGTCCCAGGGAAGTGGAAGCATTGTTAGTGTGGGAGTCCTAGAGGAAGTTGGCTGCAAAGACAGCAGAGAATGTGATAATGCCAAGGTCAAAGGTATGGCAAGGGAGCAGGGGCTGAGATGCGGTGGGGGACCGGATTGCCTGAGGAGAGGAGGCCAAGGGGCCAGAAGTGTCTGCATGGATACTGAATGCACCAAGAACTGTGACAGGAGTAGTGTTCGAGATAGCAGCAGTGAGCCAGGAGCTAAATCTGCAAAGAATGGGAGGTAGGGACTCGGGGACTGGGAGGCAGCTGCAGCAAACAAGAATGTCATCATCATCACTGTCGTGGTGGTGCTGGGACCACAGCATCAGCCCCCGTGGATCTCCTTGTTTCTACTCTTGCCTCCACCTCCACCTGCTACCTGCATAGCTGCCCAAGTGATCCTTCTAAAATAACTATCTAATTGCCACTTACCCTTCAAAAGCTTTCAACAGCTCCCATATGCCTTTGGCAGTCACACTGAAGCTCCACTCTGAGGAACCCTCTTGGCTGGGCAGCAGCACTTTTGGGGTTCTTCAAACGAGAATTGAAGTGCTCATGCCAAACAGTCAGGCTGTCAACTGCCCTGAGGGGTCTACTCTTCTATTTTGTCTGTCTGGGTTTTTGAGTTTGTTCATTCATACATCAAATATTTATTGAGCACCTACTATGTGTGAGGCACTATTTTGGCTAAGGGAAGATGGTAGTGAACAGAACACACAATCCACAGCCTCACAGAACTCACATTCTAGGGAGGGAGTCAGGCCATAAAAAAAGAAAATGTACGTGATGGCAAAGAAGTTCCAGAGAACAATAAAGCAGGAGCAGGGTAGGGAATACTAAGTGGAGAGCAGAGCCTGCAATTTTAGAGATAGGGTGGTCAGGGAAAGTTTCACTGAGAAGGTGGAATGTGAATAGAGACCTAAAGAGACTGATGGGGGAAGCTTCCGGGCAGAGGGAACAGCAAGTGCAAAGGCCCTGGGGTGAGAACGTAATTGGCCAGTGTGGAAGAAGCAGAGTGAGCTGAAGGAGAAAGCAGTTGGAGATGAGGTCTGAGTGGAAGGGTCTGATGGTGCTTGCCCCTTGTAGACTGTTGTAAGGACTTGGACTTTTAGTTGAGTGAAATGATGAGCCAGCCTCTGAGCAGAGGAGTGACTCAATCTGACAGGTTTTGGCAGGATCACTCTGACTGCTGTGGTGAGAAGAGAGGTAGGGGGCAGAGTCAGAAGGGAGAAGATTTTCGTTATGATCCAAGTGAGAGATGGTGGTGCCTTGAGACAGGGTTGGGGATAGGGAGGAGTGTTTGGATTCTAGATATGTGTTGAAGAGAGAGCAGACAGGATTTGCTATCAGATTAGAATAGGGGTGTAAGAGAAAGAGAAGAGTCAAGGATGGGTTTCTCTATAAAATAGCTTTTAAAACAAAAAATAAAGAAATTACAAATTGTTGGCCTCCAGGATAAAGCTTGGACTCTGGGGCCTGTTGGGGGAGGCCCTGGAAACCTGCTCTCAGCTTCTACACCTTTGCAAATATAGCTCCCCCTTCCTGGAAAGCCACCCCTTCCCTGCCCCTTGTTATTCTTTCTTCAGCATTTCCCTCCAGCAGCTCCTTCTCTAAGGACCCTCTACTGCCTGGGGGCCGGGACGGGGAGGGGGGGTGGCATGCGGTGGGTAGTTCCTCTGTGCTCTCCCAGCATCCGTGCATCCATCCCCTCAGCAGGTGGGCCACACTGTGCTGCAAAGAACAGTACAGTCCAGCCCATGACTGTGCCCGGTAAGGGCATTCAGCTTCTTGAGTGAATGCATGTATCTATTCCAAATCCTTTCCTCTTTCTCTAAATCCCTTTATTGTCTGCAGAAGGCTGTTGAGCCTCCTAATTTCCTGAGCTCCAAGCCATCTGCTGGGTACCACTTCCGTTTTCCTTCTCTCCACCTCTCAAGTTCCCTCTCTTGGGCATGACATGCTACTTTCACCACAGGAAGGCAAGGATGGGGGTTATTCAAGCAAATATATGACTATCTGAAATGAAATGAAAATGAAAATATTCAGATGTTATCCAAAAGAAACAGTGGAAGGAGAAATCAGTAACTAATACAAATCACCTACAGGGGAAAAACAGCCTAAGGGGGAGGGAGAGAAGGCAGGGAGGAGAGACTGGGATAACAGACCTCTGTAAATGCTCCATCTCGAGTTTTCTCTGTAGACCCACATAAATGTATTTTTAATTTATATTGAAATATAACACCCACACAGAAAAGCGCACAAACCTAAAGTTTTCAGCTAGTTGACTTTTCACAAAGGGAACACACCCACAGGACCAGCACCAAGATCAGGCTAACAGAATAGACCAGCGTCCCCTGCCCCCAAGGATAACCACTATCCTGACTTCTACAACGCAAATTAGTTTTACCCATTTTTGGTCTTTACGTAAATGGAATCATACAGTATGCATGCTTCTGTGTCTGGCTTTCTTTTGTTCCACATTTGTGGATGTTTGTGAGATCCATTCATGCCACCGTGGGTAGCTGCAGTGTGTTAATTTTCCTTGCTGTATAGGAGCGGATCCCAAATGTTTTAGCCTTATGACCCTTTTACACTTAAAAATCATCGAGGACTCCAAAGGGCCTTTGTTTGTGTGGATTATATCTATGATATTTGCTGTATTAGAAATTAAAACTGAGAAATATTTAAAACCCAAGAATACACATGCAAGCACACATCTATTGCCTGTCAGAGCAATGAAGTCATGACAGATCATTTAAACACTTGGAAACTCCACGGTACACTCATGAGAGGGTGAGAGTGAAAGAAGCAGATGACTTCTTTGTATTATTACAAAAATAGTTTTGATCCTGCAGACCCTCCGAAAAGGTCATGAGGATCCCCCAGAGTTCCCTGGATCACACTTTGAGAACTGGTGCTGTATAGTAGCCCTGGGTAAATATACCACAGTTTATCTGTTCAGCTGGAGATAGATTAGGACAGTGTCCAATTTGGGGCTGTTAGAAATAATTCTGCTATAAGCAATTTAGTACATACCTTTTTTGTGTGGAGGGAGGTTTTATTTATTTATTTTTTTGATGGAGGTACTGGGGATTGAACCCAGGACATCATACATGCTAAGCACATGCTCTACCACTGAGCTATTCCCTCCCCTCAGTACATACCATTTGATGCACTTCTGTTCACTTTTCTGTTGGAGAAACACCTAGGAGAGGAAATGTAGGGTTATATAGGATGTAAATGGAACCATGAAAAATATTTACATGACTAAATAACAGAATTAAATTTACAGAAAAAAATTCTCTCCTTTTGTCCTTCTCCTTCCTCTCCAATGCAGGAAACGATTGTTCTCCTTTTCAAGGCCAACTTCTCTTCTGATGCCCTTCATTCCGCCCCCACCATGTCCTCTGAGACCCCCATGCTATCTATTATATCTGGGTTTCCTTGCATGTTTAATTTCTCTCCTTCCCATCATCTGCCAGAAACGACGAACTCTTGAGCTCACCACCCTCTCTCACTACCCTCCTTTGTCTCCTTCCCTTCACACTCAAATTGCTAAAAGCATCTCCTGTGTGCAAGACCTGCCCCACCTCACCACCCACGCTTTCCTCTCTTTCCCCCTTCTTTGCCCCCCATCTATACTGCCCAGCTTTCAAGGGCACCAAGGGGTACCTGATGTCATATCCTGGAGCCTCTTCACAGCCCTTGCCCTTTCTGACCCCTGTGGGACCCAGCTCTGTGGAATTCCAGTTCCTGAAACCAGCCTCCCTGGCTCCAGCCAATCAGAATGTATAGCACATTGACTCTTGTGACTGGTAGCACGCTGTTCCTTCTAGCTGGAATGCCCTCCTCCCAGCTCCCCATGTCCTGATCCCACCTGTCTCAGTCAGCTAGAGCTGCCATAACAAAATACCACAGACTGCGTGGTTTAAACAACAGAAGTTTCTCATAGTCCTGGAGGCGAGAAGTCCGAGATCAAGGTATCAGCGGGTCTGTTTTCTGCTGAGGCCTCTCTCTTTGGCTCGCAGATGGCCAGCCACCTTCCCGTCGTGTCGTCACATGGTCTCTCCACATGTATGTAAGCACCCCTGGCGTCTCCTTGCGTGTCCTAATCTCTTTTGATTGAGGACACCAATCAGACTGGATTAGGGGCCACACCAGCAAGCCTTATTTTAACTTGATTACCTCTGTAAAGGCCCTACCTCCAAATAAAGCACATTCTGACATACTAGGGATAGGGCTTCAACATACACATTTTGGGGGAACACAGTTCAGCCATAACACCACCACTTGCCTTGTAAGGCTGACTTCAAATGCCACCTCCTCTCCTTAGCTGGCAATTGGCACCTCTTCAACCTTCTTGTAATAGTCTATTTGCACCCTTCTTATAGTTCCTAACACTAAGTGCCCTGTCACAACACAAGGGAATAAAAGTAACAATGGCTTCTGTACACTGAGCTTGATGGCTATTATCTGCTGGGTATATATTAACTCAAGCCTTGCTATGTGCTTAACATGCTTACCAATGACTCTGAATCCTCACCACAGCACGATGAGCTAAGTAATATTATTGATCCCCATCTTACAGAAGAGGGAACTGTGGCACTGGCACAGTAAGTTACCTGTCCAAGGTCACATAGTTAGTATGTTGCACAGCTGTGTTCAAATCCAGGTCCTGGCTTCAGAGTCTTTGCTGTCACCACCACAGTCTGGTGCCTCTTCAGGTCAACAGATACTGAGGCCTACTATGTGGCAGGTTTGGTTCTTGGTGCTGGGGGTACAGAAGCAAACAAATCTGATCAAAAAAACCCCTGCCCTTGTGGAGCCCTGTAGTGATGGTACAGTTCTCTATTTTGTTGTGGTAGTTCCACAGTTACAATGTGACAAAAACTGTATAGAACCACACACACACACACACATACAAGTGAGTGCATGTGTAACTGGTGAAATCTCAGTAAGCTCTTCGGATTGTTCCAATGTCAATTTCCTGGTCTTGATACTGCACAATAGTTATGCAAGACATTAACACCCGGAAGGCTACGTGAAGGGAGTACAGGACTTCTTCGTGCATTTCTTTCTGACTTTCTGTGAATCTATGATTATCTCAAGCATTGAGGTTAATTCCAGTGGGAAGTTAGACAATAAACAAATAAATGATGGTTGTGTTAGGAGATGATAAGTGTTACTGAGAAAAACAAAGCAAGGAAGGAGGGTACAGAGTGTTCAGGGGGTGGTCTCTCTAAAATGGCTACATGTGAGCCTTGACTTGCAGGAGGTGAGGAAATCAGCCATGGGACACCTAGGGGAATGGAGTCCCAGGCAGACAACACCTAGTACCAAGGCTGTGAAGAGAAATGTGTCTGGCGTGTTTGAGGAAGAGCAAGGAGGTCAGTGTGCCTTCAGCACAGTGAGTGAAAGGGAGAGTCAGAGAAGTAATGGGATCCTACAGAGTAGGGCTTTAAAAAGGCCACTGTGAATACTTTAACTTGTATTAGGAGAGGGATGGGGAGCCATTGGTGGGTGCTGAGCAGAAGAGTGACATGATCTGACTTGGGCCTTGAAAGGAGCACTCTGGCTGCAGGAGGGAAGCCAGAGCAGAAGCAGGGAGACTAGCGAGGAGCATTTAAATAATCTAGATGAGAGAGGGTGGCTTGGACCAGCATAGAGGTGATAAGTCCTCAGATTCGGATAAATTTCAAAGTTAAGCTGATCAGATCTACTGACAAACTGGATGTGGGATGTGACAGAAAAGAGAAGAGTGGAAGATAAATTTGGGCCTGAGCAACAGGAAGAATGGAGGCGCCATTTGCTGAGATGGGGAATGACCCAGTTGGGGGTGAAAAGCTCAGGAGTTCTGTTTGGGACATATTAAGTTTAAGACATCTATTAGACATCCAGGTGGAGACATCGAGAAAGTAGTAGAAGTTAAAGGAGATGTCTAGACCAGAGATGTACATTTGGGTGTCATCCACCAAGAAGAGTATTTAAAGCCATGATACTGGATGAGGTCACCAAAGGAGGGAGTGTATATAGAAAAGAGAAGAGGTTCAAATCTGAACCTCAGGGCTCTCCAATGTTAAAAAGTGAGGTAAGGAAGAATCAGCAAAAGAAACTCAGAAGGGGTGACATGCAAGGTAGAAGGAAAACCAGCAAGAACAAGAATAGGTGCCCTTTAAAGCTATAAGCATTAAAAGGATGATTTATATAAGCTCTTCACAGTATCAGTCACACACTAAACCTGAGAAAATGGTAGCTATAATGATGATGATGATAATTTATCTACTAAAGGGTTATTTGCTGCTTCTTCTTGCTCTTAAATAAGTAATAAAAATCCAAGTTAAGAAGCCTGAGGTCTCAGTCAAATTAAATGTAAAATTATTTGGATGAAGGTCTGAATCTAAAAACTAGATGGGCTTAAAATAACTAAACTTTTGCTGTTAAAAAAACAGTAATTATTAACTTGGGCTCAAGCTTCCTATGGCATCTGTATTCCTTCTCTAGATCTAAGGTACCAGCATCTAGCTGCCCAAGGCAGAGACCTGGGACCGAGTCCTGTTAATTTGATGTCACAATCATTTCTTGATCTTATTTCTTCTTATTCAACATTATGGGGATTACCTTACTTTGGGCCACCATCACTTCTTGTCCAGACTATTTCCAAAGCCTCCTACCTAGTTTGTTTGTTCTACCATCTATCACTATACCCCAACCCAGGGATTCATTTTTGTGCCGAGGAACTCTTTGGCAGTGATGTTTATGGACTTATTTTCAGAATTTTTAAATGCATAAAACAAAGTACACATGATTACAAAGAAAACCAGTCACGCTATCACTCACCAAAGCTATTAATGTATTTACTAAAAGAAATGTGTGCTACAGCAACATGTGGGATTAACACAGTTCTACCTGTGGGTCTAACAGCTACTGCAATTTCAAAGAAGTGATGAGTATAAAAATGACATTTCGAGACACTTGCATCAACTGCAATGTGATACGAAAGCATCTTTGATTACTATTGGTGATCAAGTTACAGGTACTGCGAATGTCACTGTAGCCTGTTGGCTACATTTGTAAATAAAGAATGCTCTACATTTCAGTCAGTTTGATGAAATGAAGTTGTGATTTTTTCCCCATACAAGTTCATGTACCCTGTGAATTCTATACACAGACCCTTGTGGACCTCAGGTTAAAAACTCTTCCCTTACTCTATTGGTGCAAAAATGCTTGAAGTGACTGCAAAGACACATAGAGGCCTTTGGTTTTAAACGGGGAGAAGAAAAATATGAAAACGGGGAACATTAACATTCAAAATGTATGCCATTAATTCCTGTATACTTCGCCAAAGGTGGGGTACAAAGTTGCTCTGGGTTTCCCAGCAGCCAAAGGAAACGGCACTGTCCAGAAATTTTTCAGTTTAAAACATTTATTGGCAACCTCTCGCCGAACACTACAGTCCTTTCCCGTCCCGCACCGCCCAGCCAGGTCGAAACTAGGGCAGAGGAAGAGCTGGGCGACGACCCACGAGCCCACCCTGGCGGGGCGCTCCCAACCTCCGCTCCTCGGCGCGCTCCTTCCCCAGCGCAGCACTCAAGTCCCTTGGGCGCGGACGTGACGTCTCCCCCGCCCTCCCTTAGAGATAGCCCCTCCCACCCCGCTCCTTCGGCCTTTGGAAGGGATTCTGCTTTGGTATTTATCACGGACTGGCTGCCTCACCCAAGACACAGGGTGCCCGGGCACACTAACGGGCTCCTGAGGAACCCACTTACGGAAGAGAAACGAAGGTAACTCCATTTCGCACGAACGAACGCTGTTTCCCACGGCCCCACGGGAGCGCGCTCAGAGAGAGGCCGCCAGGGGGCGATGGTCGGCGCATAGCGTCACCTCTCCAAGCCCCGCCTCCAACGGCGCCTTCTAAACACGTCCTTCCGGCGGTTTCTTCCTCTCTTCTCTTCTCCGCCATCGTATGTGCGCTTGAGTTTGGTCCTCGCCATGGTAAGTCCATCCGTTACCATCCGCTCCGGGGTAGCTTCACGAGACCTGAGGTCTCCGCGAGCTCGCCCGACGCCGCGGGCTGCGTCGAGTTGCAGGTCCCTTTTTAAGGCTTTTCCCAGGGGAGATCGAGTTTGTCTACCGCTCCGGTCCGCGGGCCTGGCGGGAAACGAGCGGGCACCTGGGGAGGAGCGGACTGCTCTGGCGCGCCGAGGTCCGAGGGGGCGCTCCTCTGCTCCAGGCCGCTACTCAGGCGGGCAGGGATTTCCGTTTCTCTCGGAGTGAACTGTGTTCCTGGGGCAAAGATAGAGATCGAGGGGGCATCCCAGAGGTCGTGGCTCGCGACACGCTAGATGTTCTGAGCATTGAGAAGGGAATGTGGGTTGCGTTTTTCGAAGACTTTTCACTTGGGGACAAGGAGTATGCTATGTTATGAGATTACCAGACTTTAGCTCTTTGTTAAGGGATTTGAGCGTTACCTTGGAAGCGCCTGGAACGAGGGGTGCTGTGATGTAAATCTATATGCCATCCGGGCGTTCTTTGTAAAATACCAGATACGGAGTTACTGCGCTTTTCCTGTGATCGTTCCCTGAAAAATTAAAACTGTCTAAGCTTGTAGGTATGGAGAGGATCGGTATCTGGTATTTTATGGTTTTATTAACAAAATTTTACAGCTACTGCGTGAGCTGGGAGAGAGGGGTGCAGTCTTTTCCTTCTTTGTAATGGCCCCTATTATTACGCCAAGAGTATGTCGGGCCTCATTGGCCATTTCTCCGGACCCTCGTGCAAACTGGGCAGGGAAGGGGTTGGGATTGGGCTTAGATGACCCAAGTGCTTCATGAAAGCCAAAAAAAAAAAAAAGGAACGGGAAATTGAGAAAGTCATCCTTGGAAGAGTGATGTTTTAAATAGTTAGAATTAATACAAAAATGGTCAATAGGTTAGAACCGATCTACCGAATGTCAAGAATTTTGTGTAAATCTTACTGTCGCAATGACCTTTGAAAGTAGGTACCCCGGTTTTACAAAATAGTGCAGAGGCTCAGTGACTTGAAAGTGATCGTTAAAGGCCTCATGCTCTAGTCCTAGCCGTCTCTGGTGTGGTCCTCTGAGTCCTAGAGTGACAACAGGGAAGACAGGAAGGCGCCCTAGCCTTGGAACAGAGAGGACCTGGGTTCCCAGCTCTGCACATTAACATTCTGCTTTGGGACAGATTACCTACCGTCCTCAATACTGATTTTTATTTGAACACTGGGAATTATGGTATTCGCATGTTGAGAAGTGAGGAACAAAGCAAAGGGCATGGTGGGTTTAGCATCAAGAGTTATTTCTGGTATATGTTAAGCATTCAAATGGTGGATTTAGGGAGTTCTGACTGAATCATTTGAGCAAGCTCTGGTATTGTTAAATTGATTGCATTTCCTTCCCAGTCTTCTCACAAGACTTTCAGGATCAAGCGATTCCTGGCCAAGAAACAAAAGCAGAATCGTCCCATTCCCCAATGGATTCGAATGAAAACTGGTAATAAAATCAGGTAAGAGGACACACACACACCCCACACTTGTTTTTTGTTATACTTAGGGTTGCTTTCTGGACATAAATATGCAACTGAAAGTTATATACAGTTTAATTCATCCTGTACCACCATTCTGAATTTCTTTTTTTTTTAATGTGTTTCCTCTGGGCTTCTGGACAGCACCCAGCCCATAGCTGGGCTTAGAGGCAGACATTCCAGCATTTGTTAATTTCCTGGTGTCTTCAGTCTGAGACAACATAAGGTGGAAGATTGTGTGTCATTACACATCCTAGTAGAAAAGGCAATGAAATGTTTATCTTTTCTAAAGACTGGAAGATTGCCTTCTACTGCAGAAGTAATTAAATTGATGGTAAATTGCTACAAAGGACCTCCAAGGTCATCTAGGCTAACTTCAGGCAAAGCTAGATCTAATACTCAGGTCTTCTGCTTGCCTTTTGGCTCTTTGGGGAATGGGTGGGCCTTGACAGATCTTGAAGGGAAGGAAAATAAAGCATCAAAAAAGTCAGTGATAACTTTCCCAAGGGCTCAGGACTTTGGTTTGTTTAAAATGAAATACTAGATTTTCTGGCTCCCCCAGATAATTGAGCCCTGAAGACCACAAAAGAGGAGGGAGCAGATATTACCAGAATACTTATTTTCAAAGCATTTTTAAGCTGACACTGTAGGGTGGTCCTAGCCGGTGGGTCCTTGCCCAGGTAAGAAGCTCAGGAGTAAGATGATATCTTGAAGCTAGTATAGAACACTGACTTGGTTGTATGGCAAATAGAAGTGGGATTAGTTTGCTGATAATGAAGACTAAGATGTGAATTGTCAGGGCTAAAATTGAGGGCCCATTGTCTGAATTCATTTAGCCAGTTAGATGTGAAAATCACTGCCCATTGTAGCCTTAAAGGCCAATTAATTGAAACCTTATCATGTCCTTATTCAGTGATGGTGGTGCCTAGCTCAGTAAAGAGTACCTGCAGTTATCAGATTATTAGTCTCGCTCTGCAGTCTAGAGTTTGGAAGTTACTACATTGAAGATTATATACTCTGGGCCCAGAAAATTTGCGCAAATGGTTTTTCTATTGCCTCAGCTATCTTCTAACTTTAAAATGTATTGAAAGCAGGTTGCAATTACAGTGCTTCGTTTTGTGGAAGTACTGACATTATCCTGCTGAAAGAAAATCTGTGTTGGTCGTTTTTGATTTTGCCTTTATTGGGGTAAAATCATGACAGATTGACATGGACAATTTTGAGATGGCCTTAGCTCTGCAAATCACTTGCTTTGGTATTGAAATGACTGGCAGTGTTAATCTATTATAAAAATTATATAGGAGCTTTTATATATGTGTGTGACCCATTATGTAGAAATGACTTTGCTGTAGTTTAGAAAGAGGGGTTAAATGCATATGTCTCTCTGGGTCTGCCCAGGTCTGTGAGTGAGTGTACACTTGGGGAGGGGAGAGAGCTTCTCTCCACTACTCATGTCCCAATAAAGAACCAGTGTGTTTTTTCCTAGCCTGGAATCATTTTGAGAGGTAAACATTTGATTGGAAGAATATGAAATCGAGTATATGTATGTATATGCATGACTGGGATATTGTGCTGTATACCAGAAATTGATGCATTGTAACTGACTACTTCAATTAAAATTTTTTTTGAGTAGTTCTTTAGCACATCTAGCAAATAATTTTTGACACTTCAAAAAGAGCTTCAAACTTGTTAAAGGAAGGAAAAACGGGACCTTTTGCCTTTCAAAGATGTTATGATACTTTTAAGGCAAAAGTTTGTGGTGAATAAGAGCAGCTAAATTGAGGTCAGGACTGCCTTTGTAACTTGCAGTTTCCTTCTGTGTAGGTACAACTCCAAGAGAAGACATTGGAGAAGAACCAAGCTGGGTCTATAAGGAGCCGCACATGAGGTGGTGCACATATTTATGCTGTGTCAAGTTCTTCTGCATCTTACCATATCACTCTGAAGATAGTGCTGTTGCATGAACAGCTGGATATGTTTGGGAATATGGAGTTTCTCTTTGTGGCCATGTCTGTGGTCTGTTGCTTTTGCTCAGTAATAAATATGTGAGACCTTTTGTTGAAACTCTGTTGTATTCTGGTCTGTGAGGACATACTGAATCCCCCCTCCTGTCAGATTTAACACAGACTGTCCAGTGATAGCAATGTTCTCTTGCTGCCAAGTACTTAGAAGTATGGCTAGTGTGAGTAAGAAATTGGGTTTCTTTTTCAATTTACTTATTTGTAATTAAATAGCTCCCTGTGACTAGCAGCTCTTAAAGCTTCTGTTATGGGAAGTGCACATATATCATCCCCATACCTGAGGGTAGCACATTCTTAAGAGGCATCTTTTTTAAATGGTTGAGAGAAATCAAGGATATTTTGACATTTAATAAATTCAGATTTGTGCCAGGCACTATTCCTAGCTACTTAGGATTAGTTGATGGATAGGCAAGTGTGTGGTATGTTTGGCTAGTAATAGACGAATACAGACCCCATAGCTCATGAATGTCAGGGAGAGGTGGCAGGGAGCCACAGTGCCCTAGCAGCCCGTGGAATTAGGATGGAGCTGCAGCAGGGGAATGGGGGTGAGTCTGGTGCTAACTGCCTCCCCGGTTCATAGGGAGCCTGCACTGAAAAAGCAAGTGGCAGATGTCAGGTGCCGTGCAGAGTGTGCCAGTGGATCTTGGGAATACATTTCACCTTCCTTTGCGAGTCCCTAGATTTCAAATATTTTTTCTCATTGCATCAGTGATTCATATTCAAAGACAGCTGCCTCTGTGAATAGCAGTTGGTAAATGTTAACTTACTAAAAAGGTTATTCAAGTCCAAGGCAGGCAGACTGGATACAATTGACAGTCATGTGACAAGTTTCTTAACCATTTTGGAATATTAGAAATGCCCCAGCCTCACTATTCAGAATAGGTTGGGGAATCCTCACTGGGCTGAGGGAGGTTATGACAAGGCCAAGGTCACACTAATGGCAGAGGGCACTTTCTCTACAAACCTTCAATAAGGAAGATTAGAATTGAAAGGGAAAAGGACATGGACACCAGGGTTGGTTGGCCTTGTAATAGGGAATTCTTTTGAGCCTAGGGGTTGGACATAGGTTCTGGTTCCAGTGGCCCCTCACTGCTTTGTACAAGTACAGGTATTTGTTTCCTCATCTTGGGACTAGATCTGTGCTTCCTGGAGGGAAGAATGGGAACTTTGAGACATTTAGGACAGGTGCAGCATAAGATGCCAGCTTTTAAAAGACAGTTAACTCTGAGGTGGTCCTGCTGAGAAGCAGGCTGCAGCAGAGTGGTGGGCAAGAGTTGGCAGTCAGGAGTGCCAGGACTGCATCGTCTGCA